AATAGTCATTTTTATTTTCTTTTTCACTGTCAATAATTTAATTTATAATTAACTTTCATTCAGATTTAAACACTTACATATATATATTGAATGTTATTGAGTATTGACTAATTGAATAATATGAAAATTACCGCATATAGTGCATTCATCCGAGTTATATTAGAATTATACTCCGTAATTTATATCTTTTAGAAATTCCCTTATAAATATGACAGCCACGACTAGTAGTTAGGTAAGACTGTTATTATATTGCTCTAACCGTTATTACACTACAAACATGTTTTTTAAAATCAATCAAATAAGATAAATCTCCCCATTCCTCAATCGAATAGATGCGTCCTTTGAACTTAATTTGGTCAAAAGAACTTGAGGTTAACCCCCAAAAATCCTCGAGGTAAGTACAAATTAAATTTGACATTTGTGCATTCTATCCGAGATTCCATTTCTATGCATAGGTATGAACATAGAACTGATGACTAGTAATGATGACTAAAATAAAAACAACACTACTAAAATAAAATATGCAATATAATACCGGTAGACGTAACTCAACTGGTAGTCAGGGAGTGTCACCGGGGTTATGTCCCGGGTTCGAATCCCGGTAACTGCGATGAGAGGTTACTACCCTAAAAATGCATAGAGCCTATGCAAGTACCGGAGACACAGAACCTCACTCTCTATATGTCAGATTGTGATTGGTCGGTATTGTGGGCTCTCAGGGATGAGGTGTATCCTTTTTTAATATGCAATATAATGACATACGAAGTAGTAATTATAATCATCACGTTAAATGTTCATTAAATCATACAATAGTATTTATTTATATTAATTGTAATGTTGTGTGACAATACGAAGTATTCACATATAAATTTAATTCCAGAAATATTATATGAAAATTATGATTAAGCCGGTAAGGTGCCAAAATTCTTTTATTTTTGGGGTATTATAAAAATACCTTAAACTAATAATTACACTACATGAAAGCTATACATACTGACAGAAGTATAAACTTCTTCCGTTAATTTCGCTTCATTGAATTACTTAAAGTGTACAAATTATAGGGATTTTGAGTGCACTATACAAAGAAAGTCAAAAATTATGAGAGAAAGCGGCAAAGCGGAAACATAGAATTTACTCTCTACTACGTAAAATGGAACAAATAAGGTTACTATAGATGGAGAAAATTTTGACGAATCTACTACCCTATAAAAAGGGTGAGATCACATACAAATCATGCTTAATTTACTAATCTACAAATTCAATAATATGTAACATTTTGAACTTCAATATGCAGTATAAATAATGTAAAGATGCACTCTTTGAACTTCAATATGCAATAAAAATAATCTAAACACGAAATTGCTATTTTATGGTTTAAATAATATTAAACACTTTGAACTTAAATGTGCAATACAAATTATGTAAAGATGGTTTGAATGTGAGAACTAGTTTGTATGTGATCTCACTCCTGCATCTTTACATTATTTTTACTGCATATTGAAGTTCAAAGTGCTGCATGTTATTGAGTTTGTAGGTTAGTATTTTAAGCACTGTTTGTATGTGATACTATCCCTATAAAAATAACATTTATAGGGAGTATTGTAAACTTAATCTATATCCACACGGGTAGCTGTAGCTCAGTTGATACTGTGGTGGGAAAATTGAAATAATAATCAAGGTTCGAAACTCGCAACGACCGTGTGGAGGTTACCGCTCCTGCATGCTGGTCCGACTGAGTATAAGATCTACCAACATTGAATCAACAGAGTCATCATGACTTACTCCTTCAACGATGTAAACTTAATCTATATGACTCCAAAAAACAGTCATCTATGACGCCTTCGGTTTTTTACACCGTAAGTCCTTTAGTGGATTAATTAAAGTCAAAAAGGCGGAGGGGGATCGGAGCACTACAGTGTATGTATAATTGTATACCTACGTAGATGCCTGCGATCATGCTCGTTTTTATTCTTGACCGTTTTCAATTTCAAATACCAAATTTAAATAGATTATATCAGACCAGACCAGGTCAGAACAGACTTGAATTTCTTAGTTCTAAAATACATAGTACATGGAGACCAAACAAGACTACTTCAGATTTAAACAGACCAGACCAGATCAAACCAGATCAGACCAACAAATTTCAATTCAAGTAAGAACATCTTAAATATTTACTTTTGTATTTCGAATTTTGACAACTGTGATAAGAAGGAGAACTACCAAATAAGTCATCGCACTTTCATAAAAAGTGCAAATAAGTCTTTTTATAGGAGGCTCTGTCCGGTCATCTCCATTTGGGGCGGTTTACGGTGGAATTTTTTGATGAACTTTTTTGAACATCTTCTTCATTAAGTCTAGTTTACTCATACCAAATTTCAACTAAAAATTCAATCCGGAAGGCAGTCAAACGAATTTTTGAAAATAACTGCGCAGTTAGCTAGCGCAGTATATTTCAGAAAATCATTTGACTGCCTTCTCGGTTGAATTTTAGCTGAAATTTGTTATGGGTAAACTAGACTTAATGAATAAGATGTTCAAAAAATTTCATCAAAAAATTCCACCGTAAACCACCCCAAATGGCGACAGCCGGACAAAGCCTCTTATAAAAGAGCTTATTTGCACTTTTTATGAAAGTTTGAGGGCTTATTTGATAGTTTTCCTGTGATAAGAAGTTATAGAATTGTATATATGGTCTCTGCAATTATACTTAATTATGTATTTGTAAATATTACAAATACTCCCTCTGTTCCAAAATGAAATTTTACCTCGCCTTTTGGGATGTCCCAAAATGAAGTTCCAACTACAACTTCTTTCTATATTTGGTAAGTTTTTATTATTCGTTTACCCTTTTACTCTCACATGACTTCATAAAATTGATGTCGGTTACCCTCATTTCACTATTCATTACTCCATTTATTATACTCATTTGGGTACTACACCTTTTAATTACCCAATGACATTTTTGAAAAACAAATTGTATATCTAATTCTACCTAAAACCCCGTGAAGTCAAACTATGAACTTCATTTCAGGATGAATGGAGTAGTTAATATTATATGTAGTATTTTAGAAATTCAAATTGAGAAAACGTGAATACTCAATAATACTTTATGCATAATAGTTTGATTATGTATATTAGTGGTGTACTTCGCACCAATGGTTATCACCAAGGGTCACCAGAGCCGCCGTCGTCGTTCGCACCGCCGTGAACCCTCCGGTAAGGCCACCTGCACCAAGTGGTGCTCTCTGAAGCGCCCCAGGTCTCGCCGCTCCATTTCCGGAGAAACGCCGCCGGCCGTAGCGATGCTCGTGGCTCGTCGTTGGCTCCTCCAGCCGCCACACCGCCGTTCGTCATCAGCGGCCAACCACTGACCACTCATCCATCTGGTCCGATGTCGTGGGAACCCCACCGGCTGAGAGCTCTCTGATTTCCGCCATTAATGGTAGCTTGGAGCTCTCTGATAACCACTGACCTTCCAGTTTCTGGTTGAAAGGGGGACAACCGGGAGGTAACCGGTTGGATGGGGGATTGAAGTATTTAATTTGGTTGGTGGGTTGGATCGGAGCTTTTTTGGGTTTGGGGTGCCAATTGAGCAATTCGTATACGTTCAGGGGCCAATTTGACCCTTTAGCCTTAATATAATCAATTCATATATTTTTGTTGTCTTTTTTATTTTGGCCATAATATACGGAGTGTAAGGATGTTTTTACTTGGACTGTAATTTGCTGGTCTAGTCTGGTCTGGTCTGATCTGATCTGGTCTGGTCTGGTCTGAGCTGGTCTGGTCTAGTCTGCTCTGGTCTGGTTTCTTTTTATTTTTATAACTATCCAAGTCTGGTCTGGTCTGGTCTGATCTGATATGGTCTGATATGGTCTAGTCTGGGACGAATTACAGTCCAAGTAAAAATATCCTAAGTCACTTATTTCCTACGTAGTACTCCATAATAAATTCTATTCCGTTTATGTATCATCATATGAATGTAAATAATGTGTATGCATACATTAATCCTACAATGTGCATCTCCAATGCTACAATGTGCACGGTGCACATGTGACATGAGAGAGATAGATACAAATGATTAAATTTTCGACGTTACTCTCTCCTTCTTTCCATGGTCGTATATGTTTTTGGTAAGTTTTTTTCCACAATGTCAAACACAATGTCTAGATGTAGACATTGTGGTTGACATTGTTAAGAAAAACTTACCAAAAATATATAAGACCGTGGAAAGAAGGAGAAAGATATTCTATTTGTTAATTTTTAATTGGTTATTTTTCATGCAACGTATGCACAATTCACAATTTTTAAAGTGTCAATTTCTTATAGAGTATAACTTTAATGATCGTGTACTACCCATCATTTTCAATGTAACCATTTTTTTTCAAAAAGATCCCAAGATATGTATATATGCAAGTGTCATTAATTAATTTACTAAAGAAAACTTACCAAAAAGTATATTGCATTGATGGTTTGAGTATATATTGTTTCCTAATTAGTAAATGTGTTGAGCTTCAGGCCTTGTTTGTTTGGAGGGTTTCGGAGGAAAGGGAAGGGAGATATTTGTGTGTGTTTGGTTAAAGGAAATAGGGGAGAAAGGGAAGAAAGTGGAAGACTTCCGAAATCCTCCACTTTCTCTCATTCTAAACCCTCCAAATCAGGATATTTCAGAGGAATCATGTTGATAGCACAAACTACCCACCTCCTAAGTGAATGGACAAAACGTTATAATATAAAAAAACGTAAAAAACAAAAAGTTTTGAAAAATAAAAAAATTTAAAAATTTAAAAAATTAAAGATATAAAATTAAAAAATTAAAAATGTTAAAAATTAAAAAATTTAAAAAGTAAAATATTTAAAAATTTAAAAATTTAAAAATAAAAAAAAACTAAAAAAAAATTAAAAATTTAAAAAAGTAAAAAATAAAAAAATAAAAAATATAAAATAAAATTATGACTCATGACCATAGGAGTAATATTCACAATAGTTAGACATGTATCTATTTTTTTAAGTAAGCTATCAAATAAAGGTAATTTTCGAGAATATTTTCACTAAACAAGGCATCAAGTTGTCTGACCTCCCCTCCTTTGAACCAAACCAAACAAACTACTTCCTCCAACCAAACACAAATTTTTATCAAAAATTCTCCCTTCCCCTCCCTGTGCCCTCCTTGACTCTCCCCTTCCCTTCCTTCCCCTCCTTTGAACCGAACAAAGCCTCAAGCTGTCTAGCCCGCTCTATATATAAATAGAAACAGATATCGTTCCATCAGTTTAAACACACTCCATCTCAAAACTAACACTATGGAATTACCGCATCATTTTCCTATGTTCCATGTACACTCCATCTCTCTCAGCTACTCTTACTTAATTTATTTATTCTCCCATCATATTCTCCATATATATAATTTAATGAAAGAAACAAGTATAATTCATATTATTCGTCCATAGATAAGTATAATTTCACACTAAGTATTTATACTTATATATTTTTTTTAATTGATGAATGGACATGAATGTTTCATTGTTAGGTTTGGCTTCTTGTTTTGGCAATGCTGTGGGTGTGTTGTTGCAGTTCAAGCAGTGGGGGGGGCAAATGCAAACTCGTACTTAGCAGTAAATTGCCGGAAACACACGTTTAGCTTGACGGAATTCGGAGGTGTCGGCGACGGAAAGACCCTAAACACGGCGGCATTTGGCAAGGCTACAGCTCAGCTCAGCCAGTATGCTTCTGACGGTGGTTCCCTGCTCATTGTTCCCGCCGGGGAATGGCTGACTGGCCCATTCAATTTGACCAGTAATTTCACCCTTTATCTCGACAAAGGTGCTGTTATTTTGGCCTCTCAGGTACATACGTATATGAAAGATCAAATAAAATCTTCTCCTAATTTATAAACTATAAATTCATCTTTAATCATTCAATGCATTAATTATTCTAAAGGTTGGAATCTCACAGTTGTATTTGACGATAAAACTTAACTCTTTTGGGATATAACTTTTTGAATGATAACATGCAACTGTTGTTTCATCATTGAATGATATGCAACACTTTTGAACTTCAATATACAATACAAATACCTCAAACATGCATCTAACAAACGTTTGCAGAATAAGTGCAATTTGTCTCATATCCGCCCCCGTATGTATACCTGTAAAATCGTACAATTTCTAGCAGATCTTGAGATATTTTACATGTCTCATTATATTTTTTTTTTTAATTTCACACAACTATTAATAAAATGATTAAATAGTAAAAGTATGGTCGGAATTTGACTAGAATAAAGTGAAATGATATGATAAATGAATTACATATTTCTTGCAAAAAATTGATTTTTAATATATATTTTTATAATCCATAAAAAAGAAGATCAGACATAAAATGAGGAAGAAAGTATTTAAACATGACATTCTTATTATAGCTTATAACTATTTTTACATAAAAATACACACGTAAGAATATTGGGGAGAAACGCCTCCTTGTTTCCTATAAAGCCGTCTCTGGGATCCCTCGATCACTATTTTATTAAGGATACTTCTACAGTGCCTCTGAAAATTAAGTAGTTACAGTACCTCTAGTTCAATTGTGCTCATGCCATTTTATAAAAAATAGTAATATTAAGTGGCCAAGAAAATGTACACTTGGTGTTGCCTTATTTGTCCAAATAAGGAAATGTACTGGTCCCCCAAAAATTAGTTATTTCCCTTTTATTAATTACTCCACGCACATATTTAATTGATGAAAATATCTATTTTTTCCCATCTTTAATTTGAATAAAATAATATATATTTCTTAAAAATTAGGTCAAAATTAGGAACACCTTTTGACTATTGATTTGGAGAAAATGAAGGTCATGACCACATCAACGTTTAAATAGGAAATCGTGCCCCTATAGTCGTAGTCATTTTAACCACATTTTTATATATTAATTTTATTTTGTTTAAAAAACCCTTTGAAGCCAAGTACCTTGTGGTCTGGTCTGATGATATCACTGCGATATTCTCAAGAAGGAGGTCAGAGGTTCGAGTCTTATCTAGTTTAAAGATGTTGACCTTAACATTGAACAAATACTAAAATAGGTTAGAAAAAATTGGCAAAAAAACCTTTGAATACTCTAAATATTTTTAAAAGAGGGCACGTAGTTAATTGGATATACATTAAAATATGGAAATTAAAAAAATATGGAGGCCTTTCCCACCACCTATATCACTTCTCGAGCACCGCCACTAACGGTCGGTAAAAAAGTCATCTTATGTAAAATATGTCATTTTCTTTGAAAATGCTAAAATTTTCTCCAAAACTACTATCGAGAAGGAATTATTGATGCTTGTTGGCATTATTCTAAAACTAACTTACTCTGTGTGCTTTTATTTGGGAAAATTCCCGAAATATGAGTAAAAAAGTTTGACAATTCCAAAATAGTATTGTAATGTTTTTCCGCCCAAAATGGGAGTAATTAATGTCAAATTTGGAAAATATTGGCATGTTTAAAGTTTAGTACTGCCAAAACATGACAGTAATTAGTCCTATTTTTGAAATAAAAACATGATAGTTCTATTTTGGAATATACAAACGTTTTTAGTCCTATTTAGGGTAATTTTTTTTTTAATTTTTTAAGTTTTTTATGTTTTATTTTTTACTTTATAATCACTAATGTTTTTAATAATTTCATTTAATATTTATTTCGTGCTTTGTTTTCACAATTTTATTGTAAATAAAATTATTTTATTACTTTATGTTTTGATTGTTAATAAAAATATGAATTATATTAAAACATAACAAGAATAGGATAGGAAAGTTACTCCTGTTTAGGGAATTTAAAAGCTATACCTCTGTTCTGGCAATTTAAGCTCCATTTAGTCTGTGGAATTACTAAATTACTAAATTAATATAAGTTAGTTATTTGTCTCCGTCCCAAAATTAACTTCCCACTTTCCTTTTTGGGCAATCCATAAATAAAGTTCCACTTCCTTATTTTGTCAAACAAATCTATATCAAAATTATGCAAAACAGTGTCAAACATCGTCTTCTACAGTAAAATTTCTTTTTCAGTAAATTTATTTCCTTAATGCTGTGTATGTTAAATCAAAGTGTAACCTCAATTATGGGACGGAGGGAGTATAAGACAAAATAAATAGGAGTGTGCTGCATTTAGATGGATGCATGTATGTTTATCTCTATAATATCTTCTAATGTTTATATACTACGTTACGTATATTTCATATTGATTGACTAGAATGTAAAAGATTATCAACTCATCGCCGCATTGCCATCTTACGGAAGGGGTAGAGATGCTCCGGGAGGCAGGTTTATAAGCCTCATCTTTGGAACTAACCTCACCGATGTTGTCATTACCGGTAAATAATTAAGTTATTGCATGTTGTTAATAACATTTAATTAAACATAATCATGTTTAGGGGTGGATTCGGGCCGGGTCGGGCCCGGGCCGGGCCTAGGCCCGGTCGGGCCGCCGGTTCTAGAATAGTGGGCCCGGGACCGGCCCGAGGGTTGGACGGGTCCGGTTCGGGCCACCCGCCGGACCGGGCCGGGTCAGGCCGGGTAATTTTTTTTTTTTTTTAATTTATATTTTATACTTTATAGTTTTATACAAGTATTAAAAAACAAACTTCAAGTGCATTTATTTGAAATGAAATAGGAACTACATTTGAAAATTAAATAGGAACTATAATTGTTTTTAATCGGAATCTCCGGCATAAGTAGAGCCACCCTCTGTAGATTCATCCATAAAATGTTGGGATGGAGTGATGTCAATTTCTTGAGCTCTACGTGCTGCTTTCAACCAATCGTGGTAGCATATAAGCATCTCAAGAGATTCAGCGCTCAACCTCGTTCTGGTTTGTGTTAGAACATTGCCGGCCGAACTAAATTCTTGTTCCACAGCAACCGTTGAAACCGGCATTGATAGCACTTGCTTAGCCATCTTTGCTAAAACCGGGAACATTCTTTCTTTTCCCTTCCACCAGTTTAGTACGTCAAAATCATCATCTTCTTCAAAATCAACATCATAAGTTAAATACAAAGAAATCTCATTAATTGTGCTTTGTTGTGTAGCGGGAGTTGATTTTGTTTTTTTAATAAGATTGGCAAACGTAGATTTGAAAATTGATTTTCCTTTAGATGATGTTTGTGTCGGGGGAGGGGGCGCATTGTCATATTGTGCATGAAACTCATTGAATAATGCATAAAATATATCACTAACCTCGTTGTATTCTTTTTTCGGATCAATTGGGTTGTCCTCATACATTGGCAATGGACCAAAAAAAGCAGCATAATAATAATTCAAACATTCTTCTAAAGAACCAAGTCTAAAACGAGGATCGAGAACAAATGCAATACCATAAATATGCGGAATATGTGAATAATATTTTAAAACTTTTCCTTCATAAAACCAGCAAAATAATTCACATAATCAGCATTCTCAAAATTTGAAAAAGCACCGGCGAGATTAACAGCTTCACGAATAAATTGGTTTGAGGTAGGTTTATAAACATGACTAAAAGTTTCAGTTGCATTATTAAAATATATCAAAGCATTACAAATTTTTTCACAGGTGTCGATCTCAGCCGAGTTTATAATATAGTTATCATATTGTTTCATAAAAGCAGGAAAATGTTGTTTATATCTAAGAAGAACTCCAATTAACTTATAGGTACTATTCCAACGAATAGACAAATCTTTTGGAAAAGCCACATATCTCTCACCTCTTTCTATCAAATAATCATGCCATTTTTTCCTAAGGTGTCCATTACCCCAAATACGTCTAATCCCCCCCTTGACTACCTCCAACGATACTCCCAACGCTTTTAGACCATCTTGCACACATAAATTTAGAACATGACATGCACATCGTTGATGAAAAAATCTACCCATCAAAGAAGTAGAACCACACAATTCACGCAATCTAGGAATAGCAGCAGTATTATTAGTAGCATTATCAAAACCAATAGCAAACACCTTATCAATTAAATTATACTCAATTAAAATACGTTCAATCAAAATATAAATATGTTCAGCGGTGTGACGATCATTAAATTCACGGAAAGCAAGAACACGTTTATGCATATGCCGATCGTTATCAATATAATGTACAGTCAGACCCAAATAATGTAAATTATGATAAGTATCCTCCCATATGTCAGAACATACAGTAACACGTCCATCAAAGTTTGCAAAATAATTTTGTAACCTTACCTTTTCCGCACCATAAAGCCTTGAAATTTCTTTCTTAACCATTTTGCGACTATAACCTCTATATTGCGGATTTAAACAAGTTTGTGCATAATCACGAAAAGCAAGACTTTCAGAAAACAAATAAGGCAAATTTTCTTCAACAAGTAAGTTAGCCATACCTGTCAAATTTTGTGCATCATTGTATGAGAAATTACCAAAAGCTTGTTGGTTATTTGCAAACCTCGATATTTGCGTTTGTTTCCCCATTCCGCCGCCTAATTTTGCATACTCCACCGGGTGTTTGGACTTAAGGTGTCTTGTGGCGGATCCGTATCTGCCGGAAATACCCAAGCTATAGTTTTTCTTGCACCAATTGCAAGTTGCGGTCCAATTCCCGGTGTTCGGGTCCTTCCACTTAGAAAAATTATTAGCCATTAATTCAGATTTACTTTTTTTTGTACCTGTTTGGGATGAGGCTGCTTGGTCGGCGTCATGGCTGCCGCCACCCTCCTCCTCCTCGTCGTCGTGGCTCTCCGGAATTGCTTCCTCCACATCGTCGTCCTCGTCCTCGAGCTCTTCTTCGTCAATGGTCCTCGGTTGGTCTTGAAAAAAGCGGGAATTATGTCGGTGCAATTCTTGTTCTAGTTGTTCGTCGGTCATCGCATCCCCATCCCTCCTTACGTAACCCGTATCAAAATCATCTTGACTTTGAGATGAAGAGCCGAGATGTGATTTACCTTTGCGGGATCTCTTCCTCGCAAGCTCGTTCGTTCGGTTGCGCTCGAGGTTACCCATATCAACCGAATATCTAGGACGATCCATCTAAAAAATGTAGCAATTAATAAAAAATTGTAAAAAACTAATTAAGTATTTATCTAACTATTAATTCGAGTTATAGCAAATTAAGTAGTGAATTAACTAGTTTTGTGTACAACATTATTTTTAAACTAGAGTCAAATGTAGCAATTAATAAAAAATTGTAAAAAACTAATTAACTATTTATCTAACTATTAATTCGAGTTATAGCAAATTAAGTAGTGAATTAACTAGTTTTGTGTACAACATATTTTTAAAACTAGAGTCAAATGTAGCAATTAATAAAAAATTGTAAAAAACTAATGAACTATTTATCTAACTATTAATTCGAGTTATAGCAAATTAAGTAGTGAATTAACTAGTTTTGTGTACAACATATTTTTTAATAAAAAAATTGTAATTCCAACTATATTAATAAAAAATCGTAATTCCAACTATATTAATAAAAAATCGTAATTCCAACTATACTAATTAACTAGTAATTAAACAAGTGTAAATAATAGAATAATTTCGTACCTCTTTCGGACTTTCGGTCTTTCGGATGGGAGTAATAGAATGACTTCAAATTAATTAGATATAATTCCAACTATATTAATAGATATAATAAATATATAAGTAATATATAATTAGATAACAAATATAAGTAATATAATACTATTTATATCTATTTATAATTTATATAAGTAGATAATTAATATAAACTATAAATAATAAATATAATATATTGGAGAATGGAGAATAAGAGAATTAGAGAGTAGAGAGTTAAGAATAGGATTTAGGAAGAATTGGAGAAGAGATATGAAAAAATGTTTAAGATTAGGAGTATTTATAGGTTTTTTTACCCCCCACCACCCAACCCCCCCGGACCCCCCCTATAACCCACCCGACGGCTATATAGCCGTTTGGGTTGTCCCCAGCCCCAGCCCCAACGGCTAGTAGGAGCCCAACCCAAATTTTTTTTTTTTTTTAAAAATTGATCGAACCGGGCCCGACCCGGTCGGGCCGGGTCACAAAAATGCTGAACCGAGCCCGCCCCGCCCCTTCCCCCCGGTTCGGGTCCAGACCCGGTCCCGGACCGCCCGACCGGGCCAGTCCCAGGCCCGCACAGTACCGGGCCGGGCCGGGTCACAAACCGGGTGGCCCGAACCGAATCCATCCCTAATCATGTTTTGATAACAAACATTAATTTGTCGTATTTCTGAATTAATTATGTATGTATATGTATGTGTATTCCCATTTTCAGAAGAGTCTTTTATATTTATGCTACCTCTATACGACATTAAGGTTTCCATTTTGACTTTTCAGGATGTTAATTAAAATATAGGATTGGTCATTAATATATGAAATAGTCATGTATATATAACTAAAGTAGATGCAGTAGATAAAAGTGTTGGGATTGGAAAATTCTTCTATTCAATATCAAGAATAGAATTATAATAGGAGGAGCAAACTCTCACACTCAACTATTACCAAAAAACAATCCTCACCAATACACTTCTACACTAAGTGTATTTCACTCTTCACACACTTTTCTCACTTTCTAAACTGATACAAATGAACAACAACACACTCCCTATTTATAGTTGTATATGGGAGACATGAGGAAGTTGCATCCAAGCTTCCATTCCCATTGCTAGGGAGTTTCCTAGCTATCTCCAAGAAATATTCTCCCATGTTCATATGTTAGCTAGAGACCCCCTTCCAAGAATGTGATATATGCCTCTTAGCAACTTCCAAGAAAGAAGGTGGAAGTACTCTACAAATCTCCCCCTCCACCTTTTTCTTTATTTCTCTCGTTTCTGCGGTGCTTTCTGGCTCCCCCTCGCTGGAAACAAGTATCCATTTGGATGTGGAGTATTTTCTCTGTGGAACTATGCCTCGCATAGAACGGCGAATATGAGTACCTTCAACTTCGTCTTCAGACGAAGGCTCCCCCTGCTGAGGAATATCATCACTGTGATCATCATCATTACCTACTGAACCATCACTCTCTTGCTCAGTAGTATCATACATCTGCTCGTCGCTGAGAGGAATGTTTGATGATACAGGGACTTCGTCTTCTGGAGTATGTTGTTTGCGGATTATTGGAGCACACTTATGAAACTCGTTTTCATGAAATACAACATATCTGCTTCGTATAACTTTCTTCACTCCGAGAACCCACAACCGGTATCCGAATTCTTCATCTCCATAACCGATGAAGATGCATTGGTTTGACTTGAGATCAAACTTCTGTCTCAACTTAGACACATGTGCAAATAAATGCCTTGCACCCGAACACTTTCAAGTGAGAGTAAGAAACATCTCTTCCTGACCATTTCTTCTTTGGCACTTCAAAGTTTAAAGGAACACAAGGTGACATGTTTATATGATAACAAGATGTCAGCACAGCTTCACCCCAGAATGGCTTCGGTAGTTTAGCCATACTCAACATGCAACTAACTTTCTCCACAATGGTTATGTTCATTCTTTCGGCTACACCATTGTGTTGTGGAGTTCGTGGAACCGTCTTTTCATGTCTGATTCCATATGCGGCGGAATATGATGAGAATTCCTGGGAAGTGTACTCTCCTCCATTGTCTGAACGTAGACACTTCAACTTCTTCCCTGTTTCTTTTTCTACCATGGCATGAACTAGTTTGAAACGATCAAACACTTGATCCTTACTTTTTAGAAGGTAAGCCCATACATTCCGTGGCGCATAATCAATGAATGCCACAAAATATTTGCTTCCTCCAAGTGACTCCTCTTCAATGGGTCCACACCTTTGTGTTGTTTCTGTGAATGTGAATGGTTCTTCCTAGTAGAACTGAAGGAAACTCTTTGTTGTTTCCCAAATATACAATGCTCGCATGGATCTAGGGCAACACCTTTGCCTATGGAAATGGCTTCCTTCTTTGTAAGAGTTGTCAATCCCTTCGCGCTTAAGTGGCCTAACCTCCGGTGCCACAAGTTTGGTGATGTCTCTTCTTCAACAGAATTGAGACTTGGATGACATAACTTTACATGGGTTTTATAAAGAGTACCACAAATATGACCTCTTGCAACAATCAAGGAACCTTTAGATAACTTCCACGTACCTTCTTTGAATTGGTTAAGGTGTCCTTGTTGATCTAGAGCTGTACCGGAGAAAATATTCAATCTAAGATCCAGAACGTGTCGAACATCTTTCAACACAAGTGCGCATCCGACATTGGTTGTTATGTGCACATCACCAATGCCAACAATCTTCGAGAAACTGGTATTTCCTATCTTCACAGCTCCAAAGTCTCCGGACTTATAAGATGTGAATAAGTTCTGATGTGGAGTGGCGTGAAATGATGCGGCTGTATCAACCACCCACTCAACATCATGAGTACCTACGTGTAAACATTCTTGTTCACCATGTGTAACAAGTAACACGTCTGATGACAAACTAACCATAGTCACACCATCTTCTTGGCTTGTATTTTGACTCGTTTGTGGCTGCTCTCGTAGAAACTTTCTACAATCTCTTTTTCTATGCCCATAATTACCACAATAATTGCAATATCCTTCAAACCAAGTATTATTTTCAAAGGACATACCTCTCTCTTGTGATTTGTCGCGAACCTGAGAGTTTCCTCTATTTTGACCTTGGCCTCTACCTCGACCCCGACTTCTTCCTCCATTTCTGCCTCCCCCTCGTTTGTTAGTTTCTGATATGGGGGCATATGATTGTTCTGTCCCGACTTTCTTTCTTCGGGCTTCTTCGTTCATCAAGGCATCTGTGACCATTTGCATAGTCACCTTCCTATTAGGAGCAGAATTACTGAGAGTGACAACAAGAGTCTCCCAGCTTTCAGGTAGAGAGCTCAAGAGTAGTATCGCCTGCTCTTCATCTTTGAGAACCCATTCGGTGGTGCTCAATTGATTCATGAGATCCTGGAATTGACTGGTGTGTTCTGACACCGAAATACCACCTCGTAACTTGTGGTTTACTAATCGTCTCATTAGTAATGTCTTATTACGGGCGGTTTTTGCTTGATACATGCTACCAAGCTTCTCCCATAGTGTGTAAGCACTCTGTTCTTGAGCAGCATCGCGGAACACACTATGATCGATCCACTATCGAATTTGTGCGCCAGTTTTTTGATTCATTCTTGTCCATTCTTCATCTGTCTTCTTATCCGATTTGACGCCATTATTATCAAGAGGATCGGCTAAATCCCTCAAATTTAGCAAATCCTCCATTCGAGGCTTCCATATATTTTAGTTTGTGGAAATTAGCGCATTCATGGTGTCCGATGATGATTTATCCATAATAAAATGCTCAATATATCTCGTACCTTATTTTCGAAGCCGAATTTGGACAAACGGAGCTCACCTTTGGATTCGGAATGGTCGAAAATGGTAGGAACCGGTCTGATCTTGTCCAAAACCGGTCTGGAAGGCGTTGAACCGGGCTCCACAAATATGAAACGGTTCGGTCCGGTTCAGGAAACAGCCCAATGTGCAGACTAGCAGGCAGATGACGTCGCAGCAGCTGGCGTTGTGCTGTTGCTTACGTGGCGCCACGTGGCAGCAGACATGGCGGATGACGTGGCTCGGATCGACCCTTTTGGATGACATGGCAGCTGACTGGACCTGATGTGGCGCTGACGTGGTCGTCTTCTTCCCTAGGCAGCACATACAGTGCGTGATGATGCAGGCAGCTTCGAGCCAGCGATTGAGGGGCGCATACGGTGTCTTCCGGTGGCCAAAAAATTCCCGAAAAATACCAGTTTTCTCCTCTGGACGAGACGAATCCAATAATATGATCAGAACGTGATTCCGATGAACTAAAAAAATCACGATTTTCTAACCTGTAGAATTTTTTGTGAAAAATGAGAAAAAAAGTGTATGCAAACTCAACCTCGCTCTGATACCACTTGTTGGGATCGGAAAATTCTTCTATTCAATATCAAGAACAAAATTACAATAGGAGGAACAAACTCTCACACTCAACTATTACAAAAAATCAATTCTCACCAATACACTTCTACACTAAGTGTATTTCACTCTTCACACACTTTTCTCACTTTCTAAACTGATACAAATGAACAACAATACACTCCTTATTTATAGGTGTATATGGGAGAAATGAGGAAGTTGCATCCAAGCTTCCATTCCCATTGCTAGGGAGTTTCCTAGTTATCTCCATGAAATATTCTCCCAAGTTCATATGTTGGAGACCCCTTCCAAGAAGGTGATATATGCCTCTTAGCAACTTCCAAGAAAGAAGTTGGAAGAACCCTACAAAAAGCGTGATCAAATTTCTCTATTTCAATGATTATAATACACAAATAACTTTAGCGATCACGACTATATTTAGTTTTACACTTTGGTAATGATGATACTATAGTCTTAGTAACTTTAATAATTAGGGACACTTTTTATTCATAAGTTCTACTACGTATATTTGAATAAATGTGTACTAAAACTGTTATAGTTCGATATTCAATAATATAAATTAAAACAATTTCGACAATAGTAATGAAATTGTATAATATACAAAACGGGTTTAATATAGCAAACCCCTTCATGATATATATATATTTATCGCATTAGTTATATGTGATTTAGAAAATGTGTCAAATTCCCTTGAGTTATATTTATTCATGCAGAAAACTCCTTTCAAGAACAAGTTTTACAATTTTGAAATCATTTATCTTAATAACTTGATTGAATGTGTAAGTAAAGTTTTTAACATTTCTAAATTATACAAAAATACTAATCATTTTTCATTTATTTGAGAAATGAAATTTGTTCATATAAAAGATTTTGTGCACGAATAACTAATATGTGCTAATATGGACAAATCATTTTTACATGGAGGTTTGATTCATTTTTTAAATGATTAAATCACATGGGCTAATATGTGTGAATAAACCCTATAAAATACTGGAATCTGATTCGGTTCATGAAAATCTAGTCAAGATTAGTTACATTAGTAATTTAGTAATTTGGATGAAGATAAAAAAACAATAACCGTGTTTTATCAGGTGAAAATGGAGTGATAGACGGTCAAGGACAGCTATGGTGGAAGATGTTTCAGAACAATGAGTTGAAGAATACAAGGCCTTATCTCATTGAGATTATGCATTCTAATCACATCCAATTATCAAATCTCAAATTAGTGAATTCTCCATCATGGAATGTTCATCCCGTTTACAGCAGGTTCATATACATATATCTTCATCAGTTGAATAGGTGGCGTGATTAAGGAGTTAGGATATATCATATTGAAGGGGTGTTTAGATGTGATCCTTAAAACTGTTTCTGCTCCTTTAAGGAGTAGAAACAGAAGTTGGAGTGTTTAGGTGAAAGTGCAGAAGTACTTATGGTGCTCTAATTTACTCCTAGAAGCAGCTTTTCTAGAAGCTGGATGAGACCAGCTTCTGAAAACTTATTCTTATTCTGTTTCTACTTTAAAAAAGAAACAGAAGCAAAAGCAGTTCTAAACACCCCTTGTGCCGATAGGAAAAACTTCAAATTATACTTTTTTTGGAATGAAAATCGTCTATTTGAATATCATATCATTTCATAATAATCATAATCTGTGTATGAGACTCAAATCAATACTTTTCTTTGAAATAAAATTATACATTAATTTTTACAAAAAAAAAATTAAAGGGTTTTTCGAATTTAATGTAACTTATCACCTACAATCAGTTACACTAAGATTTCAACTAATTGTGATCACCTAAGATTTGAGGTTTGATATGTTGTTTTTGTTGCCAACACCCACTTGCAGTGACATTATAATTGAACATTTGACAATTTCTGCCCCCGTGGATTCCCCGAACACTGATGGAATTAATCCAGGTTCGGTTTTACAAATTATTATTACTATGTATTATTACTGGAGTAATAAGTTGTATGCATGCTCATTTTGAATTTGAAGTTGTTTCCTATAGTTGAATCTGACTAACCATTACTTTCATCGTCCCTTAAAACTTTGTCATCTTTCTTTTTTAAGATGTCCCAAAAAACTTTGTCACTTTCTCTTTTAATCAATTATTTTGTGATTTCTGTTATTTCTCTCTCCTCTGCACAAATCTCGACCACACAGTTTTTAATTTATTATTCTCCGTGCCGGTCAACTTTGATAAAGTTTTAAAGGATGGAAGCAGTAACGTATACGAGTACTCAGTACGTAGTACACATTTGGGATGACATGGTATCTTGTGTAATATGGAGTATATACCTTTGTTCATAGTTCATATTCCCTCCGTAACACTCATATCTTCCCACTTTTCTTTTTTAGATGTAACATTCATATCTTCTCATTTCTAAATCTTCCTATCATACCCTTAATAATTTTAAAATACTCCCCCCTAATACACTATTACAACTACGTTTTTTGGATTTATCCTTCATTCCATCACACTATTTTATTATATTCTTATCATATCCTCAATAATTTATATCTCCTTTCATTATTCTTAATCTCACCTACTTTTCAAAATGGAAGATATATCTATGACGGGTAGAGTAGTTCATACTAGCTAGATTGCAACATTTTGAATTTCATAATTGACTTTGACATGTCAATCATATCTAAATGATTGAAGGAAGCTGTATTTTAAGAATCACATTTTGAAATTTTATTTCAAGAAATAATTTACAATACTTTTTATTAAATAATTTGTAAAACATTATGTCGAGTGGAGTATGTGCAAATGTGCATCGTAAAAAAAATCAAAGCGTTCTAACCATGCGACAACAAACAGAAAAGTATATGTGGTCTAATTTAATTTGTCCCATAACTTTAGTATATTCACTTTCAAAGCTGCTTTGTGTACACAAGGGCCTACACTTTATGTACACGTTTATTGGACACAGACAATTGGTATCCTTGCAAACCGAATTCTATGGGTATAAACAAGACTTGTTTGTGTTTATATACTCCCTCCTGTCCTTAATGAAGTTTACACTTTGACTTTACACATATTAAGGAAATAAATTTGACTTTACTGTAGAGTACACTGTTTGACACTGTTTTGCACCGTTTGACACTGTTTGTTGTAGATTTATTTGCCAAATAAGACAAATAAAGAAGTGTAAAATTTAATATGAGACGATTCACAAAGGAAAGTGTAAAGTTAATTAAGGACCGGAGGGAGTAATTAATTTTTCGTGTAGAAGAACACTGAAAATTGGCTATGCACAAAAAATAGCTTCCTATAACCAAATTACGGATCTTCCAAATAGAATTATAAGACCGATAATAGTTGTGTTGCTCAAGAGACAATATTTGTCTTTGTGATCACTTTTAGTTGTCATTGTTCAAATAGATTTTATCACATGGAAAATGCTCCCCCCGTCCCTTAAAACTTTGCCAAATTTGACAAGCATGAGAATTAATAAAGTAAAAAAAGTATGGTTGAGATTTGTGCAGAGAAGAGAGAATTAACTGAAACAAAAAATTCTGTACTTAAAAGGAAAATGTCAAAGTTAGTAGGATATCCAAAAAAGTAAAATTCACAAAGTTTAAAGAAACAGAAGGGATAGTTATGTTGGGAATTGCTTGCGCATAACAGTTATTTGTCTTATCAATTTTAATTATCTTTCTCATCGATTTTAATTGTGTGTGAACAAAATATGTAATTGTCTATAGTTGCGCGAGCGAATGATATAGTTGTATGTGTGACGAATTAACATGTGATATGACAAAAAAACCATAAAAAAGATGGGAATAGAGAAATAGAGATGATTTTGTGAGAATAATGGGAGAAAATTGGAAATGAAAAGTAAAGAAGGGGGCTAAAGAGTACAAGATGATTAATCGTGATGATGAACTATCCAAATAGGAATGGGCGGAGAGGGAAGAGCGAGGGTGGAGACCAAAGACCATAGAGAAGGGTGATGAAGAAATTGAAGACCTCCCAAGCTAAGTGTATATGTAGTGCGTAAGAAAAGTGTCATAAAGTGTATAATAAATAGTACTCCTATTATAAAACATAGTCGTATTTATAGTCGTATTTAAGGAATTTCTACGTCAACCTAAAGAGAATATTACCCGAAATAAGAGATTAAAAAGGTTTGAAATCTGCGAAATAGGATTTTCATATTTTTACTCCAAAAATAGGACTAATCACTGTCATGTTTTGACAAGACCAGATTTCAAACATGACAATATTTTCTAAACTTGGCAGTAATTATTCTTATTTTGAGAATAAAAAACATGATAATCCTATTTTGAAATTTTCGAACTATTTTAGTCCTATTTCGGGAACTCACCAAAACTTTAAGAGATAATTTCTTAAATAAGACTAAAATATATGGAGTAGCTAGTAGTAAAATTTCTCAAATACTACGTACTCCAAAATACTTCCAAAATACAATTCATGCACTCTTAATTTATCAGAGCTCTTATTATGACTTTTTAATTGATGGCTGCAGATTCTTGCTCAAACGTGAGAATATGGGACAACTGCATTCAATCGGGGGACGATTGTGTGGCAATCAAGAGCGGTTGGGACGAATACGGGGTCAAAGTCAACATGCCATCCCGCCATATCTCCATTAAAAGACTCACCTGCGTTTCCCCCACCAGCGCCACCGTCGCCGTCGGCAGCGAAATGTCCGGCGGGGTAGAGGACGTCCGGGCGGAAGACATCACGGCCATCAATACCCAGTCGGGAATAAGGGTCAAGACCTCCCCCGGCAGAGGAGGCTACGTGAAAGACATCTACCTCAGGAACGCCACGTTCCTCGAGTGGATGAAGTACGTGTTCTGGGTGACGGCGGAATACGGCGACCACCCTGATGATGGTTTTAACCCCAACGCTATCCCGAAGGTAACGGGGCTGAGCTTCACCAATATCATGGCTCAGAACGTGACGTACGCCGGCAAGCTTGTTGGGCCGGAGGCCGCCCCTTTCGCCGACATTTGCATATCTAACGCCACCATTGCTATGCATATAGACGACGGCAAAAAACATAAGAATAAAAAAGAACCCTGGAATTGTACGGATATCGCCGGTAAATGGAGCTTTGTCACTCCCCAGCCGTGTAGCCGGCTTGTAAAAATGCCCAGTCTTGAGTGCGGATTTCCCAGTGACAGACTTCCTATCGAGAATGTTCAACTCCAGAGTTGTCCTCTCTCCGGCATAAAATAAGCTGGCCTCTGATCTCCTCTCCAGAACTACATACTATATATACTTTCTCCATTCCTAAACTTCAACTAAGCTTACTTGGGATGTTTTATGCGTTCTGCTCTAAACTTTGTTTCTTTACTTGACATTATCCAATTGTGCTGAATTTGATAATATGAAACTTAACTTTCTATCACACTTCTAAACAGGTAATTAAATTTGCTTTTTCTCCTATTTGAGTAACTAGTTACTCCACCGTGTGTTGCACAGTACTTGCATACAAATATAGTCTCAACAATGCGATTAGTATGTGACAATAAAAATTGATATCCCTATGAACGTTCAGGGTATCCTATAAAGGAGCAATTGACACTTTTCATGTCGAGCTACCTTTGTTGGGGATTATAAAGCTTAGATTGAGTCGGACGCGGACATTCCCATCCTTTCATAAACATAAGCATCACGTTCCTCCCAATCCAAATTTCAAAAGGGGTTTTGAAGACATATTTAAAAAGAACCATGTTAAATATATGAACTGTTGGAGGTATTGGTCTTACGAAGGCCTCCCTTCCACTTTATTATTAAAGTTTGCACCCCATGTTTATTCCCACTTTGATTCCCTTAGTTGAATCGCTCATTGATGCTGGTTGACTTACTTGGAGTCAGCCCCACTACTTGTTGTCCGCTGCACCCTTTAATTTTGTCTTGGCTTACCCGTGATTGTCCTTTGCCACACCCATGAGTGCCTAATAGGCAGGCAACCTTCTATATCTTTGAGTATCCTTCTTCTTTGAGAAACAAGCCTGTGTGAAAATCTTTCCTTGAGAGCAGTGTCTTCCTTCTTCCTTTCCTTGTGTGAGAGTTCCTTTGTGGGGTCAAGAAGGGCAAGTAAACATGGGAGATGTTGTGACCTAGCCCTAGAGTGATGTGTGTGAGTAAGGATGGCAATGGGGGTGGGGCCCCGTGGGGAACCGCCCCGTGGGGAGGAGTTGGGGCGGGTGGTGGGGTGGGGCGGGTATGGGGATGGGGGAATTATTTCCTCCCCGCTTAAATATGGAGCGGGTGATGGGTTATGCACCCCCGCCCAATCCCCGCCCCGTCCCCCGTATATATGGTGCGGGGGGGTGCATAACCCATCACCCGCCCCATATATATATATATATATATATATATATATATATATATATATATATATATTAATAATAATAATACTAATAATAATAAGGGTTTGTTACAAAAATATTACTAAAATAAAATCTATTTTACATAAGTATGACTATTAGTTACTTAAATGTAGTGTCATAGTAACCTAAGTTTAAAATTAAATATAAGTTACTATAATTTCATTACAACTCTAGTCACTAGTCACATTTTTGTAAACAATATTCATTTTAGTCATAAATATGTGATTACTAATACGAAGTAATTAAAATAGTACGGTGGCCCGGTGGATTTAGTTGTTTCCTATATATCTAATGGGCTGTGCCTAATAGGTCTATCTAATTCTTGTTTAATAACTAAGCTATCTTGTAAAATTGGTTATCAAAATCATATAAAGTAAATTGAATTTGGTAAATTAAGTTATAAAGTGATATTAGCTTAAACGCCTCAGGCACAGTGTGAATGTTTTCTTCTTTTACTAGTATAGTGCATTAATTCTCCTCTTATGAATGTCATCTTTATGATTGTAGTTAGAGCTCTTAAAAATTTGGCGACCATAGGTCGTCCTAGATGCTGTCGAATGACCATAGTTAATCGAAGAAGGGCTTAAGAAAATATTAGAGCTAATCAATGCTAATAAAGTGTTTGATAAAATGACTAAATCAAAACGTGTATAATGTGTTTTAGATTTGAAATGGGATATAAGATTACATTGACACTTAAACTTAAAAGGTTTTTTTGGCTACATACTAAAAGTGTTGTTTGATTTTTGAAAAATTGTCTGAGTCTAAAATAGTGTTAGTTTTTTACGAATATTTCTCCGTTGGGTACCCGTGGGTCTAGCGGGTCGGGGCTGGGGATGGGGCTGGTCGAGTAGTAGTGGGGGATGGGGTGGGGGTGGGGGCGATTTTTTAGACACGAGGCGGGGGATGGGGGAGTGAACCCCTGCCCCAACCCCGCCTCATTGCTATCCCTATGTGTGAGTTTAGTCTAGAGTGTTTGGAAATCTGAGCCGGAGACGGATATACGATCCTAACATGAACTGCCATTTTTAAACCTCGCTCCATAGAAATTTAGGTAAGCTTGTATTAGTCATCATTGTAGCACCGACCCCAAGAATAATTACTTTTTTGGTAAATTATGTATTGAACCTTGAGAAATGGTTATTGAAATTATGAGGTTGTAAATTTTTGTTATTACTTTTGTGTGAATAGTAAAATGCATGTGGGGCCCACACTGAGAGCGGGGACCACCCGATATTTTCGGGGCCATATTTTATATTCATCTTGGTCTAGATAATATTTATATGATGGTATATATTCTTGTTAAGCCATAGAAAAGGCATAGAGTTGACCGGTTGGTCAAACAAGGCCCAATTATCGGTATGAGTAATTTATTAGATAACAGCCCATAATAAATTCAGGGGACTACTAAATTAAAGTTGGGGAATCTATATTCATCGATCTTGTGGCTCATCTTTGTCAACTTGAGGGCCTAAAAATGTGGGGTGGCCTCCACTCATGTGGGAGGTCATCCCTTTGTGACCCAATGTGTACTCTCGGTCCGGAAAGTTGTATTTCTCGAACTGTTTTATTTATAATTTATCTTATCGGACCAAATAAAATGTATAGAATCCTCCCAATCACTATGGGCCTTTAGGATATGATCCTGTTAGACAGGCCTTCTGGAAGTCTAAAGCGAGCTAGAAATGGTCCATTATTTTCAATTCGAGGTCAGCAGCACATCCGTGATCCGTGTTTCCACTTGAGAGATAATTTTACTTGAGAGATAATTTTATCTCATTATATTATGATGTGGCAATGCATTTTTCATCGATCGATGGTTCCACTAAAGATGCTCTTAGTAAGACAAATGAGTCCTCTCACACCCTTTCCCCCTATTATTTCGGCCAATCCATCTCAACCAAGAGAAACGAGCTCTCAAACCACCATCCTCCATTGTTAGAAGCAAGTTCAACCAAAGGAAAGGTCCAAGAAAGAAGGAGTAGGAAAAGAGGAGAAAAACCTAAGAATCAAGGTAATGACCTCTTAAACTCCACTTCTCTTTTCACAAAATATCATATGACTTATATATCATATGAAGAACCCTTAATATTATTCTACATGTAGCGTGCTTGTAAAAACGTCCAGTCTTGAGTGCGGATTTCCCAGTGACAGACTTCCTATCAAGAAAGTTCAACTCCAGAGTTGTCCTCTCTCCGGCATAAAATAAGCTGGCCTCTAATCTCCTCTACAGAACTACATACTATATATACTTTCTCCATTCCTAAACTTCAACTAAACTTACTTGGATGTTTTATGCGTTCTGCTCTAAACTTTGTTTCTTTACTTGACATTATCCAATTGTGCTGAATTTGATACTATGAACTTAACTTTCTATCACACTTCTAAATGGGTAATTAAATTTGCTCTTACTCCTATTTGAGTAACTAGTTACTCCAATCATTTTTTTGCAAAAGAAAATCGATTTAAAAAAAGTTTTTTTATTCAATAAAAGGGTTTTATTTTGTGATTATGAAATACAATATACTTATTTATGTGGTTTAATAAAATTTTGTATTAAATTGGTAAAGAAAAAAATCAATTCAGTTATAATTTAATTAGTTAAAGATAAAATAAGTAAAATATCACAAATAATTATATGTAACTCACGCATAATTAGATGTAACTCGCGCATAAAAGTATGTAACTCGCGTATAAGAAGATGTAACTCACGTGTTGAAAGTAAATCCCGTAGATCCGAAAGCCCAACACGAACTTTAGATATATCAGGAATGACACAGAATCAAAGTGTATAAACAAAATGTAAAATGTGAACTCACTAATACTCGAAAACTCATTTGTATTAACTAACCAGTCTGATTACAAGGTGTTTCCCGATCGGTAGGTCGGAAACAATGCTTTAATACAAGAAATAAGAGCAATGATGCTATTCTAGAGCCTGAGTATTGAAATGCTAACCCTTACAATGACTTGAAACCTTCTATTTATACTAATGGAGAGCATGGGCTGCCCTATGCTGATTGGCCGTTGTTCCACTGACTTGGTCATCCATGCTTCCACTTGCTGATGTCACAGTCTGACATTAATTGCACCTGTCCACTTGCTGGTTGGCCGTTGCTCGAACGGGATGTTGGGCTATGCTGAAGATGCTGTCAAATTGGCCCAAGTATGATATATAGTCCGAACCCCGTTCGGTATGTCTCCTTACTGGACCAACCCTTATTTGGGCCGAATCTCGTTCGGTATTAATTCTACCTTGATTATCTCATCATAGCGTGATGGGCCCGTTGCTTGGGCCGGATATCTTGGGCCTTCCGGACCCGGGTATTGGGCCTCTGGATCAATATCCAACACAAGTCCCCCACTTCCGATGTCTCGAACGATAGTGAGTGCATTAGGAAGTATGAATATCAATGTTATAATACTCCGAATGGCGATCGGGGTACAGAAGTAATCAGTTCCCCATGCTGCGATTTGACGGCTGCCGCTTCATTTCCCCATATTCATCATGGTAACCGTCGTTTAGTCTTTTCATTACACACGTGTTTAGCTTAAATGCTCCTAGTGACGTGTCGCTCCCTGATTGGTTCTTGATACGGCGGTTTCAAGGCTATAAATTAGCCTTTATCTTCTCAAATCCGGGTTTCGATTCTGCAATTCTCTGCGCCTTGTTGATTCCCCTGCAATCTTCTCCCAGCTTCCATCGCTCAGGTACCTTCCCTCCCTCTGTTCCTTATCTTCATTTCTGGCTCGACCGAGATGAGCCCCAAACAGCATTCCTCTGATTCGGAGATGGCCTCCCATGGAGATGACCGTGACGCCGCTATTGTGGACGTCATCACAGTCCCGTTTGCCGGCGGTTCTACTGAAACGGCGACGAATACCAGGGCTGAGGCGGAGGACCTTCCTAGCACTTCTTCTTCTTCCAGTGAATATTCTGACGATACCAAATCCGAGGACGAAATAGCCTCCATGGCG